TTGGTCTGGCTTCTCTCTGTCCCTTTCTCCCCTTTGGTCTGGCTTCTTTCTTGGTCCCCTCCAATTCCTTGTGTCGTCCTTGTTTCTGATTGGTTTGGCCCCCTCTGTTGCCCTGTTGTAATTTTGGCTTTGGGATCCATCTTACTCTGCTCAGGCTGCTCTGCCAAGATGCCCCAGGTGGGGCGGCCTTGAACAGCAGCAGTTTATTTCTGAGCTCTGGGGGCTGGAAAGTGCAAGTCATGGTGTCTGGGGATTTGGTCTCTGGTGAGATGTTCTCACTGTCCTCGTGTGTAAAGAGGAGGTGGCCACCTGCAGTCTCTTTTATGCAGGCATGAGGGCTCTAACCCTGTGACCTAATCACAGCTCAAATGCTGTGCCTCCTAGTACTGCTTGCTGTATTAGAGCTTAGGGGCCCATAGTTTTAAGCCCTAGAATTCAAGCTGTTTCTTTTTTAATCTGGAAATGTCTCTTTTACAGTTTTAAATTTCTCTTAAAGTACGGGTCTGGCTTTTATCTCTGAACTGGATGGGCGTGGTGGCTCTGACCCTGATTTTTACCTGAACAGGAAGCACATGGTGACTCTGACCTTGGCTTTTTCTGGAGCTTGGAACTTACTCTCTTGTCTATCGTGTTTGTTGGATGCCCATGCTGGTCATAGTATTTGGAAAGAAAATACATTGAAATAATTCTTACAGCAACAATATTGGGTATAGCTCATATAACAACAAAAAAAAATCCCTTTAAACCAAATACAATTCCATGGACCCTTTGGGTTCCCATGCTCTGCAGCTCTTGGAAGTGATTCTGTAACCATAGCTGCTCCTCCCGCTGACAGCTGTTTGTGTCTGCTCTTCTTCCTAAGGTTTTAGTTCACTAGCCTTTGGTGAGGGCAGGGCATCTATGACCATGGTGCCTGTGACATGCGGCTTACAGGCCACTCCCTCAAAGCCATAACAAAATAACCTGACAAAAGGGACTTAGGGAAGGAAGGGCCTGTCTGAGCTCACAGTTTGAAACTCTCCTTGGTGGTAAGGGCGTGGTGACGGGCGTGAGGTGAGCATGTAGTCGAGAAGCAGAGGTGTGCTGGTGCTCAGTTCACCTTTCCTGTTTAATCAGCCAGACCTTCAGCCCTTTTAGACTGAGTCTTCCCTCCTCAGCTAGTCCTCTCAGGAGACATCCCAAACGGATGCCCACAGTTGTGTCTCAGGTGATTGTAAAACCTGGCAAGGTGAAGATGAACTGTCACACACCATATCTGGGGAACTGTGAACCTCCATTCCCCATGGCCCCCAGGAGCACACAGTCAGACTCCAGGCCCATGGTGACGCTTTCTTGGCTGCCCAGAGAACCACACAGAGGTGACCTGTCCCACTCTGTCAGCAGTGGCTGTGGCTTGCCTGAAATTGTGACACTCAGGTTGGGAAGGGTTTTTTCCCTGGGTTTCCCTCCTGTAAGCCTCAGGCTCAGGAGTCTCTCCTGGGAGTTTGTGTAGCCTTCCAGATGGAGAGCTGAAGCTCTATGCTGCAGGCCGGCCTATAGCGCTGCAGGAGCTCCGGAGCCTTCAAGGTTTACAGAGGCTTGATTGTCTCATTGACGCACGCTGTCTCTGTATGCTTCTGTTTGTGTGGTGTGCGTGTGTGTGTGTGTGTGTGTGTGAGAGAGAGAGAGAGAGAGAGAGAGAGAGAGAGAGAGAGAGAGAGAGAGGCATGCATGTGAATGTAGAGGCAGCAGAGGACAAGCTCAGATGCCATTCCTCAGGCGCCATCCGCCTTGCTTTTCTGAGACAGGCCTCCCACTTGCCGCTGCCCTAGCTCACAGAGACAGGCTGGTTGGCCAGTGAGCCTCAGGGATCCGTCTCACTGCCTCCCCAGAGCTGCAGTTACAAGCACACGGTTTTGCACCCAGCTTTTTTATGTGGATCCTCACCCTTAACACCCCAGATGCTCAGTCCCCCTCATTTCCTGACACGGTTAGTAGTTTCATTTGATGCCTGAAAGGTCGAGTCTCAGGCCACATGGTGTGATGATCTACAGCGATCCTGTAGGCATCCAGGTCGGTTTTCTCTTGATCAAGGCTTCGATCTCAAGTAATGGACAGCTGCCCCTTTCCTCTTTCATCCTTCCTCCTGTGATTTTTTTTAAACTAAATTTTTAAAACTTTCTATTGGTTCTTTGTGAACTTCACGTCATGCTCCCCTAGCCCCCTCCCCTCCCCTCCCCTCCCCTCCCCTGGTCTTAGCCTCCCGTGGTCTTAGCCTGTCCGTTCACTAAAGGAGAAAGGGCAGTTGTGAAGTGGGCAGCTTTCCTGGTGAGTGTTTCTTTCTCTGGGTTCCCCTCCTGGCTGCCTGGACCCTCCTCTCCTTGCTTGGTGTTCTCTGTTACTTAAGGAGTGCTGGATAGGACCGCCCTGGACCGCGCGTGCGCGGTGGCTCCTGCTCACCCTCTGTTCTGCGGCATTAGATACCCAGCGCGCTGAGCTCAGACATGAAGTCAGTCTGAGTCCTTGAGCAGCTGGTGAACAGACCAGAGAGACAGCGCGCTTCAAGATGCTGATAGAGTGAAATGACCTCATACCCTCCTTCCCGCTGTGTGAGCTACTTGCAAACAGAGGCGCTTAGCTAATTACAGCGTGACAACTCCGCTTGTGAATGGCAGTTAATTGTGAGGATTTCAATTTTAGTGTGTTTCTTACAAGGGGAGTAAATGATACTAGGCAGAAGATCTTTTTCTGAGGAGTTTGAATTGATTGCTCTATTTTAATGTTTGTTCTATTATTTCTGCAGTACCAGGGCTCGAGGAGTTCTAGCAATGAGAGTCAAAATGATTATGCAGCACTCAGCCCTAATGTGCTCCCCCAAACTCAGGGGGCATTGTGGAGGAGGGGGTGGGAAGACGGGATGATTGGGGGGGCACCCACGAGGCCCTGCTTCCCCTTGAGGGTTTATAGTTTCGGTCTACCCATGGGGAGAATGTGGTGACCACTCTTTTTCTGAGGATCTCTATGCAGTTAATGGTTGCCCAGGGAGAAGGGGCATTTTCTTCAGTGACGAGCCACTGATCCCATGCCTCTGCTCCTGTGAGTCACTACTCAAGCCTCTGTAACCCTATAAAACTCACTAGGTCCCAAGGTAAAAAACAGATATGGGGCAAGTTAGGAAGGGAGGGGCTGGCAGGGGAGGGGATGAGAGGGCAACCGGGTGACTGTGGTAAAAATTATATGCATGTGTGACAAGCTCACTAAGAAATCTATTGTGTATCATTAACATTAATATATGCCAATGACTCAATAAAAGTCAAAGGACAAAAAGGTTTCAGCCATAGGATCTTAATTGTCTCTGCCTAGCAGAGCCTAAGATAGGCTAGCTTCTTCCAGATCCACCATGGGACAAGTTACCTTATCAGAACCATGATTTTAGCTATTGTTATTGTTATTATTAGTAGTAATAGTAGTAGTTGTGTGTGTGTGTGTTCATATGCTTTGGTGCCATGCTGAAGGTCAGAGGACAACAGTTATTTCTCCTCCTCCGCTGTGGGACCCTGGGATTGTACCAGCTTGTCAGTAGGTACCTTTCCCTGCTGAGTCACAGAGGTGGTGGAGGCTTTAAAAACCAGATTCTGAATAATTCATATTTGTTGAGAGCTGAAAGTCTTTATGTTTTTTAAGTTTTAAGGTTTTTTTTTTTCTTTGTATTTTTTCTAAATGCTGCCCTGTGCTGATGGGATTGAGACATGTCCTGCCCCCTGCTTAAGTCTCTCTTCTCAGGCAGCTTCTGTTTTTGGTGTCTAGAACCACCGTGGACTCCTGATTCTCTTGCCCAGCAGGGGATGAGGGGAAGTGGAGTGGGATGAATGATGGGCCCCATCATTCATTCTTGGATGTGAGCCTCCATCCGTTGTTTCCTTTTACATCAAAGAAGTTGGAGTTTTGTTTTAACGAGGAAGGGGCTGGAAAGATGGCTCAGTGGTTAAGCGTGTATGCTGCTCTGGCAGAGGACTCAGGCTCAGCTGGAAGCACCTATATAAGTGGCTCACAGCTGCCTGTCACTCCAGCTCCACGGAGATATGACATCGTTGACCTCTGCAAACATCTGCACTCATGTGCAGACACACACAGACACACACAGTACACACAAGTAATCTGAGCTAAGTCTTTTTTTTTAATTAAGTAAAAAAAATTGAAAGTTCATTTCCTATAGTGTAGGCCTTCTGAAAATGGACTTCCAGATAGTGTATATCCACCATCTTGCTCTGCTCCCTGAGAAGCCAGCCCTATCCACAGCCATTGTTCTCAGGTTTGGTGTCAATGTCACTGGAAAGTT